CATTAATGACAGATAAAGTATTACTTTTATTTTATCATTTAGCGTACTTTCTTAATGACAAGATTTAAGGACGTATTCGATACGTGATAACCTATTAACTTCTTACGTGACCCTACTTCACGTGCTGCAACCATTCCGATCCAATGGATACCCGCGGTAAAGAAGCAACCAAATATGAAATTTATTGATTGTTGAAGAAACTGTTTAGTAAGTATAATGTAATTTTTTCTCTCTTATTCATCACTATTAATCATTCCGTTTTTAAAATCCCAATCAGTCCGACTAAACGGAAAAGAATTACCGGATGGATAGCAATGAACAGTTAGTAACCGGAAGCAATTATCAATTATTAATCTTACTGAAATAAGATAAAAATTTCTGATTTATTATTCGTGAAATGATATTTTGAAATATACGGAATGCTTCATTAGTTTCTTTTCGGATAGAATAATGAAAACAATGAAATCCGGTAGAATAATCGGATTTTTAGTTTCAGGAAAATGCTTATAATGTTAATTTGCCAGTGATTAATCAATGATTTTGTACTTTATCAGTTGACAGATATTTAATTTTGTTTTCTCAATGATATTCGTTTTACTCTGATCGAAATATGAATTATTGAAAAGTTAAAAATAAATATTATTTAAATTTACAACAAATATATTAAAATTTCAATATTTTATTTTTTACAAAATAATAAATGAATGAATTTTTAATTTTCTTGTTAACAAAGAATTCAAAAATTTGAAAATTAGCATTTGTCTGTTGAAAATATTCAATAAATAACTATAAGAAGAAGCTATTAATTTCTAAATGATATTTCTTGGAATATTCAATAATTTCATTTTTAAAACTTTAGAAGAATTTGTTGATAAATTTCACATAACAAATTGTTTACACTCTTAAATTATTTGTTTTGTTTTTTTTTTGATATAAATACAAATTATTTTTGTAATCGTACAAATTTTAATATTCTGCAATTAATAAATCATATTTTACCTTTGGTTAATAATTCATTTTTTAGTTTGTTTAATTATTTACACAATTTTAGTTCACTTTTCATTCCTAACAACAATTTTTTGATCAATAATTGACACAAATCAGAGGTGTTTGTCAACAAATTTACTTTTTTGATCAATAATTGACCTTTTTTGATCAATAATCGACCTTTTTTGATCAATAATTGACACAAATCGGAGGTGTTTGTCAACAAATTTACTTTTTTGATCAATAATCGACCTTTTTTGATCAATAATTGACACAAATCAGAGATGTTTGTCAACAAATTTACTTTTTTGATCAATAATTGACCTTTTTTGATCAATAATCGAGCTTTTTTGATCAATAATTGACACAAATCAGAGATGTTTGTCAACAAATTCATTTTTTGATCAATAATTGACACAAATCAGAGGTGTTTGTCAACAAATTCATTTTTTGATCAATAATTGACACAAATCAGAGGTGTTTGTCAACAAATTCATTTTTTGATCAATAATTGACACAAATCAGAGGTGTTTGTCAACAAATTCATTTTTTGATCAATAATTGACCTTTTTTTGATCAATAATCGACCTTTTTTGATCAATAATTGACACAAATCAGAGGTGTTTGTCAACAAATTCATTTTTTGATCAATAATTGACACAAATCAGAGATGTTTGTCAACAAATTCATTTTTTGATCAATAATTGACACAAATCAGAGGTGTTTGTCAACAAATTCATTTTTTGATCAATAATTGACACAAATCAGAGGTGTTTGTCAACAAATTCATTTTTGATCAATAATTGACCTTTTTTGATCAATAATCGACCTTTTTGATCAATGATTGACACAAATCAGAGGTGTTTGTCAACAAATTCATTTTTGATCAATAATTAAAACAAATCAGAGGTGTTTGTCAACAAATTCATTTTTTGATCAATAATTAAAACAAATCAGAGGTGTTTGTCAACAAATTCATTTTTTGATCAATAATTAACACAAATCAGAGGTGTTTGTCAACAAATTTACTTTTTTGATCAATAATTGACCTTTTTTGATCAATAATCGACCTTTTTTGATCAATAATTGACACAAATCAGAGGTGTTTGTCAACAACATCATTTTTTGATCAATAATTGACACAAATCAGAGGTGTTTGTCAACAAATTCATTTTTTGATCAATAATTGACACAAATCAGAGGTGTTTGTCAACAAATTCATTTTTTGATCAATAATTGACCTTTTTTGATCAATAATCGACCTTTTTTGATCAATAATTGACACAAATCAGAGGTGTTTGTCAACAAATTCATTTTTTGATCAATGATTAACACAAATCAGAGGTGTTTGTCAACAAATTTACTTTTTTGATCAATAATTGACCTTTTTTGATCAATAATCGACCTTTTTTGATCAATGATTGACACAAATCAGAGGTGTTTGTCAACAAATTCATTTTTTGATCAATAATTAAAACAAATCAGAGGTGTTTGTCAACAAATTCATTTTTTGATCAATAATTAAAACAAATCAGAGGTGTTTGTCAACAAATTCATTTTTTGATCAATAATTAACACAAATCAGAGGTGTTTGTCAACAAATTTACTTTTTTGATCAATAATTGACCTTTTTTGATCAATAATCGACCTTTTTTGATCAATAATTGACACAAATCAGAGGTGTTTGTCAACAACATCATTTTTTGATCAATAATTGACACAAATCAGAGGTGTTTGTCAACAAATTCAGATCCTATAATCTAGTCGTTGACATTTTTAGTGCTAACAAAATTAGGTGACACTTTTCACATATGTATGATAATGTTTTCTTATTCATGCAAAAAAATAAATAAATAAAAATAAAAAAAATAAAGAAATAATAGCGCTTTATTTTGCTGATCAAAAAATTGTATCTTTTTATAAAAATGATTAAAAGTAATCAAATTATTTTCTTATCACAATAATATTGTAAATGATTTTATTACATTTTGATTTATTATTCGCTATGAATTAATTTGTTCAGTTTATGATTTTTTTTTTTTTTTCAAATTTCTTTTTGTAAAATTTAATCATTTATCATTTATGGGCGGAAATGACTTATGAATCATTGCGCTTCTGCATTTGATAATCATTGTACTGTAATCATGCATTACGTACAGCAATTAATTAACAAAAAAAAAATGATCAAATATTACTTTAAATATTCCTAAAATTTTTCCTAAAAAATTTTCTCAAATGTTTACGAAACGAAATTTAAGAAAGAAATGCATCTTTTTGCACTTATCAATAAGTAATTAAATTACTTTTTCTTCTTACTTATCAAAAATTCAATATATATTATTAATTAGTAATAAAAATAAAAATATGCGATAGCAAAATTTGTTGTATTTAAATTATTAATATTATTTTGAATTGCCGAAAATATTTTTGAAAAATTATCAAAATATCAAAGAGCGATGAAATGTTATCTAAGAATTTCACAAAAAGTATTTTATTAAATTATTTATTATAATTCTTTCTAATTTTATTTTCCAGAAATAAAAAGTAAGAAACCTTTTATTAGCAAAGAAAAAATTATTTACCCAATAAATGCAATAAAATTATGATAAAGAATTGATCTAAGAGATCATAATGTAATCATAGAAGTGAAATAAATTTTAAAAGCTTTTATTTTATTTCAAAAAGAATAAAAAACTTTTGATGAAAATAAACAAACAAAAAAAAAAAAAAAATAAAAATCCTTTAATCAACTAAAAAATTTATTTATAACTAAGAAAATAAAATTATTGGCTGAGAGAAAAATAAAAAAAAAAAAAGAAATTCCACAGTTAATCAAAGAAATGTAAAATAATCTCTGAGAAATTGATATCAATGATATCAATTTTCAATGTTTATTTTAAAGATACGTAATTCCAGAAGTAAAAAATTTGTTGCATTTTAACTTTTGTTTAGCTTCCGAAAACTTTTATTTACTTATAGAAAACAAAAAATTCATTTCTATTATACAAAGGAAAATTTTATTTCTTACCCTTCGAATTGGGTAGTATTTTATGGGGAGATAAAACCCAAAACAATGGGTAGAAAATCTAGTAATAGGTATTTGAGACACAACATAAATAGAAATAATAATTCTTGTATGATTAACTAAAGTCTTGTAATAGTTGTTTATTTATTTATAGAAAACAAAAAATTCATTTCTATTATACAAAGGAAAATTTTATTTCTTACCCTCCGAGTTGGGTAGTATTTTAAGGAAGATATAACCCAAAACAATGGGTAGAAAACCTAATAATTGATATTTGAGATAAACATAAATAAATAGAAATAATAATTATTGTATGATTAACTAAAGTGTTGTAATAGTTGTTTATTTATTTATTTATTTTTATTTATTCTAACTACTTTCATTCTTTTTCATTTTCTTTTTTTTTGCTTTAATATATATATTATTTAAATCAAAATAAAATTTAATGTTTTTTTTCTTTTCCTTAAATTTTAGTCTAAAATTGAAGTAAATAAATTTGTTTACACAAAATGCTTAGCATTGTTAAATTTTTTTTTTTTTAAAAAAAAAAAAAAGAAAGAAAATGCTCAATTTTTGTTGTAATGCTCGAAAAATTGTCGAACTTTGTTCGATATTAGCTGAAGAAAGAAGCTATTAACGACATTTCATTCTTTTTCAATCTTCGCTGCCACACTAATAGCTCAGTTTTCGAATTTATAAATTAATATTTCTGTTTGTTAGCTCAAATTTTGATATAATATTTTGCACATTCCATTTTGAATTAATTTATATTTTTATTATTATTATTAATTAATTTAATTTATCAATAAATTATAAATGATTATTGATTTTCTTTCTTCTTTTTCCTTTTTTTTTTGAAATGAATTTATCGATTGATTAATTAGTTAATTGAAATAGAACAAAATTAAAATTTGTGATAAGTTTGAGCTTTATCAGTGATAAAAATTTGAATTTTAGGAGGAATAGAAAGAGCAATCAGATGCAGAATATGGATAAACGTAATATATGGAATTTAGTAAAAGATAATCCACACGAGAAATCATTAACTCAACAGCCTACAACACGATCCTTCTTTAATTATGATGTAATTACTTAATCAATTAATTGATTAATTAATTAATTAATTAAGTTAATTATTTTGTTATATAAGCTGAACTAATCAGTAATGCTAATCATTTACATGTATTAAATTTCATAAAAGTAATTAGTAACAATAGTTGAGAAAAAAAAAGTACAAATTATTGATAGGTAAGTTAAATCACAATATAATTGCATATTTACCCAATCATTTATTGATTTAGAATGATTGATAGAGAGAAATCGAAATTTAAATGAAATTAATATATTAACCTTATTTAATTTTAGTATTTAGCTACATACTATCACTATTAATTAATTAATTAATTAATTAGTAATTAGCTACATATTATCACTAATTAGTAATTAACTACATATTATCACTAATTAGTAATTAACTACATATTATCACTAATTAGTAATTAATTAGTACTTAGCTACATATTATCACTATTAATTAATTAATTGGTAATTAGCTACATATTATCACTATTAATTAATTAAATAGTAATTAGCTACATATTATCACTTAAAAATGTAAATAAAATGAAATGATAATTAATTTTCAAAATTTTTAAATTACTATTGGTAAGTTTGAAAAATTAAAAAAAAAAAGGAAAAAATTACCATCAATTTTAGTTTAATCAACAATTGGTTGATGTTGAAACGGTAGCTGATGCAGCTGAATTACCGCCGGAGAAAATTTCCGAAATACTTGATGAAATGGTTCGTAAAGAATCGGAGAGAAAAAATATTATGTAAGTTTATGGATATTTTTTTATTGATAATAATTATGATACTAAAATTGAACTTGAAAGTATCTATCATTTAATTACTTAATTACTTATTTTATTTATTTCCTATATACTACTCTTTACTTAATTACTTATTTCATTTATTTCCTATATACTACTCTTTACTTAATTACTTATTTCATTTATTTCCTTTATACTACGCTTTTCAGATTATAACATAAGAGCATTTAAGATGTTAAATTCAATCATTTTGAATTAATCTTTGAAAATAAAAAAAAAAAACTTCGAATGTTATTATTTGAGTTTTTTAACTTAATTATTAAATGGAAAGATTAATCCTAATTTATCGTAATTGTTAATATTTTCTTTCTTTCTTTTTTTTTATCAATTTAAATGATTTTTATATTCTTATTTGAAAAATTTTGCAAATGCTTTATTAAAGGTTTGGAATTCGCAAAATGAGTAGCAAATTAATGAATAAATTAAAAATTGGACATTCTAAAAGTACTAATATTATTGTGGATCAAACATCAAAAGTTTCGGAATTATCGTCACCAATTTTGAAGACATCATTGTCACATCATCATCAACACTCAATCACCACCACTAGATCATCGGAAAAACCAATTTTTACAATTGATGAGCAATCATCCGGTTTATCATCACCGCCATTATCGGTAGCTAAACCGGCATCCAACTATCAATCATCTTTTCGTGAAAATGAAATTAACACTAAATGGTATTTGTTAATTTCTAAAAATTTTATTCTTAAATTAAATCTTAAAAATTTAATCTTTTAAATTTTTCACTAATTTAGAAAATGCTAACAAAACGTGTAACTCAAATGAATGAAAATTTCATATTTCTTTAGTGCTTATTTATTTCGTGGTGATTCACTGTACAACAGTAAACAACCGGATCCGGATCTGGATCCTGAATCATTGGACAATCAAATTGAACGTGTTTATGTTTATGATCCATTTTGTCCAATTCATGGCTCAAGACGTCGTATGATTAGCAGAAGGACAAGAATACGAGATTTTGATTATCATTTAACCAGTATTGAATCAGTTGATGATACGGAACCATCAGGAGTTATCTTACTCAGGAATGAAAATTTATATTTCAATTTTTTAATTTATAAAATTTATAAAATAAGCAAAAAAAAAAAAAACTCAAAATTTGAAATGAATTTGAAATATTTATAAATTAATTTTTAGCCAAGGTTTTGCTGCAAAATTAATTCGAAAAAGACGCCGTGCGCTTTTGTCTGGCTCCGAGAAATATCGTTCTGATAAAGCAAAAAGAAAAATTCGAGTAAATTTATGGATTGTTAGCTTAGCATTTTTATTTCTTTTTACTGCTTTTCATGGTTTACAAAATTTACAATCATCAATAAATGGTCGTTTGGGAACAGATAGCCTTTCGTATGTTTCTATTTATTTTTATAATTTTATATTAAATTTAATTTATAATATTTTTTTTTTATCAAACAAAAGCATTTTACTAGCACACTGATAGCTTCATTAATTAATCTAACATCAAATAATTTTTTTTTTTTTTAAAAACATTAAAATTATTTGAAATGAAATTCTTAAACATTTTACTAGCACACTGATAGCATTATTAATTAATCTAACATCAAATATTTTTGTTTTGAAAACATTAAAATTATTTGAAATGAAATTCTTTTTTTTTTTTGGTTTTGGTTTTGGTTTTTTAAAGTTTTATTAAAAATTTTTAGAATCTTTTATATCAGCTTATCATTATCATATTTATTTGTTCCATCATTCATTTTGAATCGTCTTGGATGTAAACGTACATTAATCGCATCATCAGGAATATTTATGATTTATATGCTTTCAAATTTTCTACCTAAGTAAGTTTTTATTAAAATTAGCATAAAATAATTTTTATAAAAGAAAATTAAAATATATCAAGAAAATAGCAATGTTTATCATATCATATCATATCATATCATTTCATTCTTATCAAAAGCTTTTTTTTAAGTTTTTTTTTTTATTATTTGTGTATTCAATTAAATATTTTATTTTATCCAATATTCTTTAATAATAAATTAAAAAATAGAAATACTTTAAAAATTAAAAAAAAAAACATTTATATAATTATATAACATCTTTTATAGATATTACTCGCTTATTCCAGCTTCTATTCTTGCCGGATGTGCCGGAAGTTGTCTTTGGGCAGCAAAATGTGTTTACATTTTAGAATGTGGAACAAAATATGCGCAATTAAATATTGAAGCGCAAAATGTCGTTATTATTAGGTATTCATATTATTATTATTACTACTTATATTAGACAAATTTCTCGGAATAAAATATAAATTATTTTTGAAATAGGAAAATCAATTATTAAATAAGCATCGTAGTTATAATTTTATTAAAATTGTACTAAAATATTTGAAATCGATTATTAGATAATTAAAATGGCAAAGCATTGTAATTATGATTTCGTATTAAAATATTGGAAATCAATTATTATATAATTAAAATGATACAGGCATTATAATTATAATTTTGTATTAAAATATTGGAAATCAATTATTAAATAAAATTGCAAAGCATTGTAATTATAACTTTGTATTAAAATACTGGAAATCAATTATTATATAATTAAAATGTTATAGGCATTATAATTATAATTTTGTATTAAAATACTGGAAATCAATTATTAAATAAATAAAATGGCAAAGCATTGTAACTGTAACTTTGTATTAAAATATTGGAAATCAATTATTATATAATTAAGATGTTACAGGCATTATAATTATAATTTTTGCATTAAAATATTTCAGGTTTTTTGGTTACTTCTTTATGGTACTACATTTAGGCCAGGTAATTGGTAATCTTATTTCATCCGTTATTCTTACCGCTTCAACCGGTTATTATCAATTAGAAGATCAGGTGCAAAAATGGTATCAAATTTTTTTCATTCTTTTATTTCTTCAAATTTAACATTTTTTTTTTTTTGTTTTATTTTCTGTAACTTCTTGATGGCATATAGCATAGCTTTAAATTTTTGTATATTAGTTTTATTAATATTTATTTATTTTTTGATTAGTCATTTTTTAAATGTAAATTTATTTCTTTTTCTTTTTAAATTAAAATTTTTTTTTGCTTACAAAAAAAAAAAATTATTCAATTAATGAATAAAATTAATATTTAAAATATGCAAATTTCAGTTGTGGTCATTTATTTCGTGATAATATATCATACCTAAGTAAGCAAGCAATTGAAAATTTACAGCGCCCGGCGCAAAATGTTTATTTGTCACTTTGTGGCATTTATTTTTGTTGCACAATTGTTGCACTTATGATTGTGCTACTTTTTTTGAATTCACTAAGAAAAGATGAAATTTCCAGGTTTGAAATATTTCACTTCTTTTTCCGTTTTTCTTGTCAAACGGAACGATGTAATATTTCCGGAAATGTTAAGCATAATTTAACCAAAAATATCAAATTAAATCAAAAAATAAAAAGTACTCGCATATTTGGAAATGTTAAATTAAATTATTTCAAATACATATAAATTAATTAGTTAAAATATGACCGAAAATATTAAATTAAATCGAAAAATAAAAAGTACTCGCATATTTGGAAATGTTAAATTAAATTATTTCAAATACTAATAAATTAATTAATTAGAATAAATAAAACCAATGTTAAAGTTAATATCAACAAAATATTTATAATATTATTTCGAATAAACTCAAAAGTCTGTGAAATATTTTTTTTTTTTTAAAAAATAATTGCGTTTACAAATATTTTATAAAAATTTTTTGTAAAATGATTGATTGTTCAAAAAGTATAAAGAATTACTAGCAGATAATAAAATTTATCAGTGAAACAAAAAATATTTGATAAAAGAAAATGCTGGAAAAAGTTCAATGATTTTCTAATATTTACTTATCAATTAATAAAATTTAAATTAAAAATTTTTTATCATAAAACTTTCCATTATTTTTCTTTTAGTCTAAACTATGCTCATTAATACAAATTGTGATAAATTACCAAAAAATAAATAAATAAATAAAAATGTAATTGGAAATTTTGTGATTAAATAATAATTTAATTAACATTTTTATAATAGAACGATTAATAGTATTTCAAACAAAAACAAAATTTTTCGTTTAACTTTTTTGAAAATTTAAAAAGATTTCTTCTAAAAAAAAAAAAAAAAGGTATAAATAAAATTACTTTAAAAATTTTTAAATGATAAAATTATTGAATTACAGATTAAATGCACCATTCTTTTCAACAGATATTTGTAAAGCAATATTTCGGAATCTTACTTATCCTAAATCACTGCTACTTGTACCTTTGACACTTTTTAGTGGTGTTGAACAAGCATTTGTTGTAGGCCTCTATACAAAAGTAATTTTTAGTTCTATTTCTATTTTTTTTTTTTTAGAAATTATAGTTCTTGTTTTATTGACAAATGAAATTTCCTTGCCAAATAATAAAATTAGTTAATTGTTTTATTGACAGATGAAATTTCCTTGTCAAATAATAAAATTAATTAGTACATTTTTTTTTAAATTATTGTTTTATTGAAAGATGATAGTTTCATGCTAGTTTCATATAGATAATAAAGTTAATAAACTAATTAATTGTTTTATTGACAGATAAAATTTCCTTGTCAAATAATAAAATTAGCTAATTGTTTTATTGACAGATGAAATTTCCTTGTCAGATAATAAAATTAATTAGTACATTTAAATTATTGTTTTATTGAAAGATGATAGTTTCATGATAGATAATAAAGTTAATTAATAGAGATTTTTTCTTTAGTTCTTTTGTTGATAGATGAAAATTTTTTTGTCAAATAACCAAAGTAATTAATTAACAATTACTTTTTAAAAGGCTTACATTGGTTGTGGCCTTGGTATTGGCCAAATTGGATTCGTAATGACAGGATTTGGTGTAGCAGATGCTGTTTGTAGCCTAGTTTTTGGGCCATTAATGAAATTATTTGGACGAATGCCTTTATTTGTTTTTGGTGCTGTTATCAGTATGCTTGTATCATTAACACTTCTGATAAGTTTCATTTATCAAATTTTAATTTGATGAAAAAATATGAAATTATCAAAAAGTATAACTTTCCCAACTTTTAAAATCATTTTTTTTTTTCATTTTATTTTTCAATTTCATATCATTATCATTTCTTGATTGCTGAAGAAAATGATAATGATAATTGTTTAATTTAAAATGAATAAATATCTGATCCGGTAATAATATAATCCGGTAACAAAAATCCGGTTTAATATTATCAAAAAGTATAACTTTCCCAACTTTCAAAATCATTTTTTTTTTTCATTTTATTTTTCAATTTCATATCATTATCATTTTTTGATTGCTAAAGAAAATGATAATGATAATTGCTTAATTTAAAATGAATAAATATCTGATCCGGTAACAATATAATCCGGTAACAAAAATCCGGTTTGATATTAATCTATTCAATTTAATTTTCATCTTCAAACTTTAACTTTATTATTAATTTTAGATTTGGCCTTTAAATCCTGGTGATACATCATTATTCTATGCTATTGTTGGTGTTTTAGGCATGGCTGATGGTGTCTGGAATACTCAGATTAGTGGTTGGAATTTTTATTTCTTTAATTAATTTAATAAATAATTAAAACTTTTTTTTTTAAATTTAAATTTTAAAGAACGAAAAAAAAAAACAATGACAAAAAAGAGAAAAGTGAAGAAGAAAAGGAAAGAAAATGAAAGGAATCGAGAAAAAAAAAAATTAAAAATGAAAAATTGATAAATAATAATTTTAATTATAGGATTATGGATAGCACTATCATCTAGTCATCTTGAAGCTGCATTTGCTAATTATCGATTCTGGGAATCAACCGGTTTTGGTTTAGGACTTATCCTGATCCGTTTTACAAATATCACACAATTTTTACTTATTTCATTAGGAATGCTATTGATTGGAATGCTCTGTTATTTGAGTATCGAATTTTATGATAATATCAGTGTATGTTAAATTTTAATTATCAATGATAAGCTTTTAATATGATAAAATTCTTAGTGATTCCCTAATTAGCAATTATCAATCTGTCCATTAACTATTGATAGTTATTGATTCTCTCGAGAATTTTCTCTCGAGAAAAATGCTAATCACATCACATTCCTAAAATTAGTCTTACTTTGTTTTTTTTTTTTTTTTTTTACTGTTAAAATAAATTCGTTAACAAAAATTTCTAAAAACTTCAAAAAAATTTTTTTTTCCTCAAAAAGTAATTCGAATTAATTCTAAGCATTTTTCATAAACTTTTACAACTGAGTGTTTATTATCAGTGAAATAATAAAAAGTTAACTCAAAATTTTTTTTTAGACTAAAATCACAATATTTTTTTTTTCAGCTATATGGTAGACGAATTGTTGATATATGCCAAATTAGACGTAAAAATCAAATTGGCAATAAACCGCTTTCATCAATGGAAACATCATTAATTAGTGCGACAAGTGCGCCAGAAAAAGTATGAGATAAAGCTGCTGTAAAATGATTGAAAGCGATAGAAAACATTATGATAAACATTAATAGAATTCTTTGTTGACAAAAAAAAAAAAACTATTTCAAAATTTCAAGGATTAGAAAGACAAAATTGACACAACTAAATTCTTTTAAAATAAAAATATTTCTTAAGCTGTTTTTTCTCTTTTTTTTGGCAAATAGTTTTAATTTTTTATGTTTTAATTTTGCAACTATGATATTTAAAAATTTGAAATGAAATTATTTAATTTCGTTTTGCTAATCTTTCTTATTCAACTTTGCAACGAATAATTTAAAAAGTAATTTACGATAAAGTTTTATTAAATTTATTGAATTACTAAATGAGATATATTGCATTTTAGATATATATTATCAGAGCATGAAGGAATTGATAAAAACAATTTTTATTTCTTATCACAAACATAATTCGAAAAATTTCCTAAATTATCAATAGATAATTGAACTGAAATTCTTTGACAATAAAATAAAATAAAATAAAATTCAAACTTTATTCTACTAAAGAACACAATCATCTACCTTACACAAATTATTACAGTGAATTATTTGTTGAATATTAGAGAAAATTTTTAAAAATCATTAAAATAAGAAAGGATTCATTCTAGTTCACTTACTGCTTAATTGATGAATTGAAATCGTACGGGTAAATCAAATGGGTAAATTTCAAAACCATTCTTCCCTAACCACTTGGGTAAATTAAAGTAGTTGTTTTCTAATTAAACTTTCATAGAATAGAAATAAGTTAATACAAAAATATGCATTAATTCTCTATGAATAAAATTTAGTGATTAAATTATAGGTAAGTAAATAAGTAAGTAACAAAGTATTCATAGTATGTTAATTTTTTAAATTACAAATTTTATTCTATTCATTGACTATGTTTATATTAAAACTACAAATATATTGGATAACAAATGTAAGTTTTAAAAAAAAAGACAAAAACTTTTAAATTAATGAGTTAATTAAACAAATGAAAAAATATTTTTATTATAAAATGAAATTTTGATTGCAATTTTTGAATTGAAAATTTTCTATTTTGATCTAACTAATTTAACTAAATGTTTAATTTTAACTAAATTTAACTAAATAAATAATCAAGTAAGTGAGTATTTCAATGTTTAAACAATATTATATATAAAGTATTTTAATATTCAAACAATATTATATCAAATCCACAAACATATAATCCAAATGTTGATAAATCAGAAATGAAAAACAACAATGACTTACGCAGTTACTTATACTTGCTTTGGGATGCAAAAAGTTGCACAGTGGCTCAGGGAAGAAATTTAAATTTAAAAATGAATTGAAAAGTTAGACCGTTGATTGTGAGAATTATGGTTATTTAGCTGTCGATGTATTTGATTGATCAGACGGATACGTGTATGCCGGAAGTTCCTGTACGGGAATTTCAGGAATACTTCTGATCTAACCGGATTAGTGATTCCATTACAATTTCTAGACTACATCAACTATTACATTTATTACTTCGAACGGTTCAGGTTGTAAAGTAATGTTCGCTTCAACATTGAATCATGCAGAAGAATTTCTGAAAAGTATATGCTGTGATCAATGGTATTTACTATAATCAATCAAATGATGCATAAATTTCTTGTTTATTTTAATTTCTCACTAATTTTCTAGAAATTGAAATTTGTTTTTTCTTTCTTTCTTTTTTTTCTTCAAAATAATTATATTTAATTTAAAATGTATAAGTGAGTAATTGTCAGTTGAATTTTTGAAATTTAGTAGATTATTGCTGTAGAATATCTAGTTCAACGAATGATTGTAAATTCATCAAATTATTATACGAATTTGTTGAATTATTGTTAAATTTTGCAAATTTCAGTCATCAGCTATCGGATAAGTTACAGTTTATTGGATCATCATGCAAGCATGTTTTTTGCTGGTAAATTTCTTGTTTAGCTTTACAATAATCTGGAAATTTTGCTTTAGGACAAAGTGTTTTAAAACTAGAAATTCAAGGAAAATTTTTTCATAAAATTTCCGAGATATCAATGATTCCCAACTTTTTATCGTTTAATATACTATTTAGAAAATGTATGTTCGACTTGTAGATAGATTATTGGAAGCGCTGAATAAAAGTGACTTTTCCACAACTTAAAATCAAAGCGGCAAATATATTTAATGCTACCTAATAACCCTCAAATTTTCACTCGCTGTCAAATGATAACTGACATTCCATTGTCACCAGTTTTTAATAAAAATATGCCAGGTCTCACACTGTCCACATAATGATTTCTGGTGATGCTAATTTTGATACTTTTGAAATCCAACGAAAGGTGGGGAGATATTTTCCTGAGGCCACGAAAAAAAAACGCCACCCAAAAAAAACACCACAAAATCTAGGTGTGAGTTATTCGGAATATAGAAGTGTGTGAAGTGTTTAAATTTTGTCTTGATGAATACATGTAAAACAGTTATCCATGCATTTTTCAGGACATGTGTCAACACAATTTGCGATGGAAAGTCTTTCCCATTATGTCCACAGTGTTTACTACCCGTTGGATTACAGCATATGAAGTCCGCCACTTTTGCTGATCAGCTTTTCCAAAATCTTTTATCTCTGAAAGAAACTCTATCTGACGTTAGTTCTCCTTCTGTGCAGTTTATTTTAAAGCATGAAAAAAAAAAATAGATGTAAAATTATTTCTTTGATAAGAAATACTGGTAAATTTTATTTGCAATGATATTTGACAGAAATAAGGTGGTAGTAACATGCTTATATTTTAAATTATTTTCTATATTTTAAGTTGTTTTATATCAGATCTTCAATTATGTTGCAATCTTAAAGCACTGAACATTATTCTTGGCGTCATCATGTTCAAAGTTATGTTATTTAATGATATCAATATATCGATATTTTAATTTCTGATGTACACTCAGTTGAAAGAGGCAGCAATATTGGATAATATTTTTAGTTTACCATTTCCCAATATGATCGACAAGTTATGCTTAGTCTAGTTGAAACAGATAAACAGCGAAGAACTGTGGAAGAGTTTTGTTCTACACAGGAATGTGTTAAAATCGAAGACGATGTTAATCATCCCAACATAAATGAGCAACGTAATGGATTACCGTCAGAGTAAGTCTTTGCATTGTTTGGTTTTTCTGAAATATAGGTTCAACGTCATATTTTGCTAATTTCGATTTTTCTGGATTGAATTTACTTTGATTTTCAGCAATAATAAAAAACCATTTTGTTTTTCAATAAAGATTTTTGGTGAAGAATTGAATTAATTTACCGGTTCTTAGAACATCTCCTGTTTCGAGTGGTAATGTTTTGGACCTTGTTTCGCTATCAGGCGATGTTACACCATCCACGAAACTAAATGATACTGTTATTGCTAGAACTTCTATCCAAAATGATGTTATAATGACTCAGCAATTACGTGTTTATGATGAACCAGAGAAATTTCAATTCTTCAAGGAACCACCCCGAAATACTTTTGGTAGAGCTGTAGCAAAGAAAAGGATGGTATGTTTTTGAAAATAATATCTCTATTAATGTTTGACTGTAAATTAATCATAAGTGAGTTTTACCATTGAAAGCTATAATGATTCGGAAGAGTAATTTCCTCAGTGAATTTCAGTGTTACAATATGCTGCATCTATTCTGACACTTGAATATTTCTCATTTAAAGGAAATTTTCAGTCAACTGATTCCGAACTTGGATTGAAAAATTGGGGCGCTAAAAATCTAAGTACAATCCCATTAAAAATAACAATAGCACAAAATTCTCATAAATCACCAGTTCAACGATATGAATATAATCTAGTGAATGCAACTATACGCGGATCAAAAAAAAAGCTTTTGGAAGCTTTAAAGGTGATTATTCTTTATTGTAACATGATAAATAGAAATGATATGAGGATTATAATGAAGAAATGTATGACTTTCTTCTGCTGAGAGATAATAACGATATCATATTTCATTTTTTTTTTTTTTTTAAATCATATTTTTTTTTTTTAAATCATTTTTTTTTTTTTTAAGAATGGAGAAGATGCTAATGAAAGTGACAATCTTGGTTTCACAGCGCTTTATCATGCTGCAGCTCATAATTACACTGAAATTTGCAAAATTTTGATTGAAAATGGTGCTCTCATCGATGCGCATGGTAGAGTATGATTTTTGGAATTTAAAATAACTTCAGTAAATTATGCTGAAAGTTGAAATTATTTTTGATCATTTTGTCAAATTTGTTGAAACGAAGTAATCTGACATCAGCGGCATAATAAATAATCTCGTTTGAGAGATTGTTAGCATAATTGGTTTAAAAAATTTCGATCATATTTTAACTGGAAGGTGTGCTGAATTGGATGATCGAGTAGTTCCTTTTTATGTGATAGTTCACTAAATGTCAATATGAAGGCATAATTAACTTCGAAAATTTTAATTAATCAAAATTAACGTAGGTGGAGAGTTATGCGAAACAGCTCTTCACGCAGCTGTGCGTTGGCAGGCTGTTGATGTTGTAGAATACTTGTTATCAAAGGGAGCAAATAGACGAGCGCGTAACTTAAAAGTAAGCTTATTTTAATTGTTCTAAACCATTAAATGGTTTAACCCAGCTAATTCTTTTTGATTTTTACTAGTTGTCTTCAGTATATATATATATATATTGTAAATATTGAAAATTTTAGAAAATAGAGGAATGAATTCTGGATTATAGGATGAAACACCAATGGATTTGATTAAAGATGATGAAATGCGAGCAGTTTTTGACAGAATTTCCCATCCGATTCAAATGGGTACGATTAACTTAGCCCGTTCAAAAAATGGCCATGATGAAGTGTATAGTTTTAGAGTAGATCAATAACGAAGACATGTTCTCTTGATATAATTTACTGAGACTTCAATGTCTGGATAAATTTGTTATGAATTAGAAAGGAAAGTATTTTTTTTTTTTTTACGGCACCAATCGAGACAAATTTGATCTGGTATTTGAAATAATAAGTAAAAATTTACTCGTAAATTTTCACGTTTAGGAAATAATGCATTTAAAACAATGATTTTTAATAATGCAATATGTTCTTTGCAGTATATCCTTCTCGAAAATCCAAAAATATTCTGTCTTCCTATCGACAACATTACCGAATTTAAACATTGAACGTGGCAAACTTTCATTCAGTGATCTGTTACAAAATACTATGAATTTAGAAAATGCCACACATTTTGTTGTTCAAGCAGGGAAAAACCGAGCAACAGAAATCAATGGTAAGGTCTATTTAAAAATTTTTGCAGTTTCAGAGCTTCAGGGCAACCAGAATGATAAACTCGTGAGAATTAAAAGTAGAAAGTGAGAAAATTAATAGTTTTTATAGTTGAAATTTTGGAAGCTATGCTGCGTGGACAATATATTTTAACCAGTGAATGGTTGAATGCATGTTTGGAAGCAAATGACATCGTAGATGAAGAGTTGTATGAAATTTCAACAATTATTCGTAATGGTCAACTGCTTGCTAAAAATTCATGTTCTACAGCCAGAATAAATTATGCTAGAATGGTTTGTTTGCCTGTGTAGTTATTTTTTAATTACGATGATAATTTTTGACAGTGATACAACATCAGTCTTCAATTTATTCCTGTCTTCGATATTATTATTTGTTTAAAATATGCAGTACAGAACAGATTTCCAGACGTTTCTGTCACTGATAATTTTTTCCTTCTCTGTTTATCAGCAGATGAAATGGAATTAGTTCTCAGTGACTTGCTTCTAATGATTTTCTTAAACAGCAATCATTTTTGTTAATTTCAGAAAAGGAAAAAAGATAAGAGAAATGAAATTTGTTCTTATTTTTTGTCTTATTCCTCTTTGTCCTACAGTTCTGCGCTGTTATGCAAATTTGCGACTTTTGTTTTGATATGTTAAGTCTAACTGACGATTTTGTGCAGTGAATCCATCAGGGATGACTTAAAGAATTTTCTAAAAATGGTCAACTATTAAGTGAATTTCGTTCACTTATCAGTTAGTGAACTAAAGATAATTCAGCAATGCTTTGTGGAATCATTGGAAGTCTCAAAAAATTTTCACTTTGGGATCATGTAATCATTTAATCACATTGGGATGGGAGATGTAGATCAAATTTATTAGTGAAATAGAAATATTGAAAGAATTTTAAGTTTCTATATGAATTTTACGAACATTTTCGAAGTTATGTATTTTCAGGAGCCAGAGCTTTTTCGAGGATGTCACTTTTATTTTTGCAAGCACAAATACTTACCATATCGAGAAAATGAAGTCAAGAAACTAGTTCGATTAGCTGGAGGTGTAATACTTGGAAGAGAACCCAAAATAGAGGAATATATCGAGAGTGGACTAAGGCCATATCATGCGAAAAGAGCAGGAAATAATTTAAATGAGGTAAGAAGGCGCATCACTGTTGGCAAAACTATGGGAATTTGAATCTACTGAATTTTTATAAATTAATTCTCTTTTTTAATCCAAGAAACCAAGGTTACGGTAAATTTTCTTATGTATGATCACATACTAGAAAATAACTTTCAGGAATTTGTTTTTATAGGTTTTTCTATAATTTCAATATTTTAGCTGTTTGGTTTATTCGTAGTGTATATGCCAGGCCAGTCTATTCCACAACGGGTTACGAAGCAAAAATTTATCAGCCTTATTACGCCAATTTGGATAATGGAATGTATCGCGAAATTTACACTTTTGCGACCCGAAGATCAATGAAATATTTCTCCATCAAATGTTCCTATTCTGTACAAATACTTAATAGGAACTATTAAGGATTAAAGTTAATAATTCTTATATCTCTGAATCTCTCTCGAAATGTTAGAAATAGAACACGTCAGTATCCTAAATTCATTAATTACGGCCATCTTGTTAAACTGCCCAGTTATTCCATTTTACCTTTGTGACTAGATTAACGATAATAGCTTTAGTGATGTTTTAATCAAATTGATATTGCAATCTTGATTTGCTTAGATTTTTCATGAATTCCTGTACTTACACTCAAGCAATACTGTACAGTGATAGTAATATTATCAATCATATCGAATTCCGTTTCAGGAAAACGAACACTTGGTTTCAGCTCCATTAAAACTTGTGATCTGAAATCTAAACACTTTAAGGAATCGAGAGTGTTCTCCGGTCAAAAATAAATCGGTTATATTGTTATAAGTATTTTCCATGCTTTTCCATATGCGATATCTCAGGATATAACATGCTTTATAGCTCTAACATTCAAGAATGTACAGCAAAATGAAATGGTTGCTTTTGTGTTTACCTGATACAGATAAAGTTGTATACCACCATTATTTTTTGGATTCTTGAAGCTTTAAATACAAAACAAACATTGTCAAGGTGAAAGAAAGCTGCGAAAATTAAACATAAGAAAATATACAGCAAATTAATAAAATATATTTGCACAGCAAACACCTTGCACATGTATGTGATACAAAGAAGCTTGCGCTTGCGCACAAAATAATTTAAATGTTATTGTGGTTATAGATCACATTAAATGTATCTAAAAATTCACTGAATTTCGAAAGGAACAAAGCTAAAGATGCTAGAACAGGTAGTTAAATTTCTTATCGAAAAGCAAACACTGAAATCCAAAGAGTTTTGGAATATTTTCCTTTCCGCTGTCATATGTTTCGTTTTAATATGTTTAAATTAAGCTGAGGATCTCTCAACCTACGTATAATCCTTTTTCATTATCATTATTATATATTCTTCATCCCAAAATTTTTAAGTGGAATACATTAAATTTTAAATCTGATCTGGTATTTTCATTTTGAAAATACCAGAAGCCCCATAGTATGAAGTATGATGAAGTTCGCGAATACTAGCTTCAAAAATGATAGTGTCAAAAAAACAATATATCGAGATAATTCAACAGGAACGTAATAATGAAAGCGTAGAAAAAGAAAGGAAAATATTTCACCAAAGTGACATATCTTGTGAGCCATCTTCGCTGAACACTTTGAAATATATCCAAACTGCACCAAAACAAACAATATTGGCGAGAAACACGAAAAAATACGACAGACCAGATATCTGTAATCGATAAAAATTGTTGCCCAATAATAAAAAGAATGAAAGTACATATTGAGAAAATAAGTAAGTCAATAAATAACAAACAAATTTTCTAATAATTCATTTTCAATAAAACTAATATGTTAGTTATTTAATACTTAAAAAAGAAGTGTGAGAGACGTTTTAGAACTATTATCAGCTAAAACACATGCGAAATAATGACATGTAACTCTGTAAGTAATACAATATGCATATAAGTGCTTTAAACTAATAACTAATAAATGAAGAATGTGGTTTTTTTTTTTTGATCCAGATTATGATCTAATACAATTCTGAATTTTCAGAAAAATAGTGTACAGATCAAATATAGAAGCAAAATAGCCTCGTTCCCACATTTTCATTCATCTTAAATCTAATTTTGAATTTCCAAATGAAGAGAGAAATTTTGACTTCTAAATCTCTTTTGATAAAAAACACACAATATACAAATATTAGCACTTTACGACATTTCATTCTTCGAAAAATGATTGCTAATCACACTAAACATCTAAAGACAACGTAAATTAAACACTGAGAACAATGAAAGCCTATGAAATATGCATGTTTTCTTATCAAAAGGCAAGCTGACGCAAAGAATAAATTTCGAAAATTTTACTGTTCACATTAAGTCAACAGATATTTCTGAACTTTGCTTGTTACAACAAAATCCCTTAAAACGAGAAACATGTGAAGAAAAAAGCAAACTCATGCATTTATTGATCAAATCGACTGATCATAAGATAGGCTAACAATTGAAACATTAAACAAGCTACGAAAAGTACCCTTTTGACAGCACATTACTTCTTCAGTGAATTAAAAAAAAATGAAAACCTAAAATTTTCGAATTTTATCAGTAAAAAATGTTGCAAATGAAAAGTACAACATGCATTACCACTTTTCACTCAATATAATCCATTTCCACAACGATTTTCCAAAGTATCAATCAAAAGAGTGTTTGGTTCCATCCACTACCATCGTCTTCCCGATGTAAATAAAAATAACTAAGAATCGTCAAAAACATCACCAAAGAACCAAGATTTGCGCATAAACATGCCAACCATTTAATCTAAATTAATAAAAAGTAGCACGCACACAACAACATTTACTATTACAGAAGGACACACATACATTTAATACCTTTGAACTTTTAATTGCAATAGATTTAAATCCAAGAAAATCAAAAGTTTAGGCACTAGATATAAATTGAAGATGTACCTATAAGTGTGAGAATAACAAGTAACTTACCAACCAGTTAATTGTTAAGTGGACTGCTTATTGACAAATAATATTTAAAAAAAGCACTCACCGTCCTTAACAACATGAGAAATAAACTAGTCTCACCGATAAGTAATCCTTATTTACAGACTCCAAAAAAAAAAAAATTTTTTTTCTACGATACTCCAAAGAACATAACTTAGACGATTTAAAAAAATTTTTTTACAAAGAGAAAAGGAAAGAAATTGCAAGTTTTTGGGCAAATTATATTTTCAGATGGTTATATCTATCAGCTACACATCTTTTATCAAAATAATTCCTATGACTAATCAATACATATAAATACTTCATTCAATTAAAGAGAGACAAAATTCATGCAAATCATGCATTTCTCAACAACTAAAAATTCACCAGACATGCAAAACTTTTGAAAAACAAAACCATTCCAAATAAAACAAAGAAAATAACATGAAGTATGTCACGTGGCACTGTCCTAATTTCGAATGAATCCTTCCGTAAAAGTTAAATCTCCAGTACATCCTTTATACGCTTTCGATGATTAATAGCAACAGTAAAATCTCAGATAAATTCCTAAAAAACTTACCACTCCAGCATGTGCAAGAACCATCGGTAATGCAAACGCTGATACAACAATGCCGGTTGTTATGAACAATGCAAACTCAATACATGCTGAAGTACCAGTCATGTCAACGTGAGATCGCCGAGCTATTGATAACGGTATTGGAGCCAATACATAGAAAATTACGACAAACAATGGCCACCAAATACTAAACAAAAATTTCTTTCAATAAACCATCAAATTTTTTTACAATTAAAAGTCTAAAAGTTATGATTAATTTGATTTTATTTATACAAAAAATAACATGTAATATAAGTAATATTAAAAATTATTCTAAATTTACTTCCTTACCCAAACATTGGCAATGCACATCCCAGAACAAGCAGCGTAAGACCAACCACACCAGATAACGCTAAGAGTACAACCGCTAAAACAATATTTTCATCGAGAAGTGACAGGATGAACTGTTTCATGATAATGATAACATAATAAATAACTACATTTGTGGTTATTTCGAGCTTTTCAATGTTTTAAGTTATTTAATACAAAAAAAAAGAAAGATAAAAGCACGATAAGACAAAAGATATTTTTAAATTAAGGGATGTTGAAGGATGAATCAAACAAATAAACGATTAGCTATAATAATTTTCCCTTAATCAATACTTCCTTTCACCTATTACGATCAAAGGAGAATACGGTGAATCTTTATTACTAGCATTACTATTTTATGTAAATCTGCTACTATTCCCATTTCTGATACTATTACTGTAATTCCAGAAGTACAAGGGTTACTACTATTACAGTATTGGTTGCAGCATATTGTTACAGTACTACTATCACCAGTAAGAATAATGGAAAAGTATAAACTCGAGTATTACCTCTGACTCCTGCCATTGATCAGTGTGACAAAGAGACCACGGTAGAACTCTCCTAATGGTTGATGTCAGTAGCAATAAATCACTTCTGGTGCTTTCTTCCAAAATTACCTAGTCTTGAAAGATTCAAAGAAACCTGGAAGCACGATTAAGTTATGCAATATCTTAGTATATAATGTCCAGGTGAGTTTATTTGGCAGAATTTGTTTTTTTTTTTTTTAATTTAATTAGAACTAATAAAAATTCTTTTCACAGTTTTATTTATTATGAGAACTCAATTATTGAAATCAAAACTATTGCGATTAACATATCTATCACTTCTAAAATACTATTGGCTACAGCAAAAATTTCCAAAAACTTGTAAACAAAATGAGAAATTTACAAGTTTTTCGTATACGACAATTGGAGCATTTCGAAACGATTACTAATTTATCATATTTTAAATGCCTTTTTCTGTTTTAATGTAAATATACTAATTAAAATTTTGACTGTCCACGTGAACTTTAAGGTCTACTTACACAAAGATCTAATATAATTCTTTATAAGTGTCGACACTTTTTCACGTAAATTTTGATTCTAATGCATCCTTGCATCTACGTCTATTTTCCACATACACTTATTATCTCTTAAACTAACTTCTAGATTCTAATATTCCTCAAAATATCACTTTTTTATACAAATAGAAATACTGCTCAACTAAGATCCTCACGTATCCTCAAGTAAGTCTCGAATAGATTTTCGAGACTTACTTGAGGATACGATTCCCTTGTTTCTCATCCAGTCATTCATTTATCTGCTTTTCCCCTCGGATAAATATTCTCTCAGTCACTCACTCATCTGCTTTTCTCCGCGGGTAAGTATTTTCTTACCCAGTCACTTACCTGCTTTTCTCCGCGGGCAAGTACTTTCGCACCCACTCATTTATCTGCCTTTCCCCGCGGGTAAGTAAAAAAAAAAAAATCTAATTACCAAGCATCTACCCACCATTGCGAATATTATTAGCAGGATGAATGAAAATGGTCACCTACGCATCCGAATTTTGTTTTGCACGAAGAATTCAGAGATAAGTGGGTCGAAATGGAGCTTCGATAGCAACCAGATTTGTCTTATCGGTAAATCTCGGGGGAATGTCAGTAAGTCTCAGAGGAATCTATGGTATCGGTTATGTTTCTGATTGCATTTTTATTCGAATTTTAAGTTAGCTTGTATATATATATGCGTTACGATTTTGAAATTCGTATATCATGTTTAATTTATCTGTAAGTACCAATGTTTATGATTTATTTAATATGAAACATTTGTGAATTACAGATTTTCAGGTCATTTAAAAAACTAAATGAAAATTTTATTTTCAACCTTTAACATAGTAATTTATATTTTGAAGGAATTTGTGGCTACGCATAATTATTAATTGTTATTATCCAGCAGTTCAGTATTTTTTCACGACTGAAAAATATGTTGATATATTAAGGATTTTTCATTTTGCATTTCTACTGCTTATAAGGATTCTATCTATTTGCTACAATTTGTTAATTCATAGTTTTAATGATATGAGTGACAATGATCCACCACCAGTACTTACAAAGCAAACTACATGTGATATCACCTCGACTACGGACATTTCACTATCAACTGTGACAACATGTACTACTGCTACTACTACTACTACTACTAATAATAATAATAATAATAATAATGCATCAGCATCTAACAGCAATGATTCTTTTACAAAAGCAACAACTGTTGTCACACCTTCATCATCATCCTCTTCAGTTTCCGATTCAATGCAGGTTACTTCAGGTTGTGGTTCATTTCATACAAATTGTAATTGCTAATTCGTCTTTATCCTATGTTAACCTGAACTTTCTCTGTAATAAATTACAGTAATAAATTGCTAATGAATTTAAGTATAGCGTTTAAATTTTAGTTCCTGATTTCAATTTTGATATAGTGGAAGTTTTTTAATTTAACATAAAAAATATTCCATTAAATATCACTTTTTTTAAAATTGTTTTCTTTTTGCTTTTAATTAATCATTCGTAGTATTTCATTCAGTCCAAGTTTTAGTTATAAGCAGGAATTTAGATGCAGTGTAGTCTTGTATATCTTTGTAATGATTAACATTTGTAAACAATTAGGGGGATAATTCAAATTTATTTATGCTTCAGCCTCTTCTAACATATCTGTGTCATCATCGAGTAAGAGCGTAATATCGGATACCAAAAATGCAGCTAATGTTAGCGCTGAAGGTAGTGCAGCAGCTGCAACAGCAACAACAATATCAGCAAGTAGTAGCAATGCCGAGACGGCTTCTTCAACATCATCAACACCACAACCAGCTCCAAAAAGTCGCCGTAAACCAACATCTCGTAGTAAAAAGGACTCCACTGATAAGACAAAGTAAGACTTCAGCTTTGGTTTTAAGTTTACAATATGGAGTTGCAGCAGTTTTATTAGTGAAAATTGATGTAGCTTCATGGTGAACTAATCATGGTATAAATTTGAAAGGAAAAATTTATCGTAGAAAATTTTAAAATGATTTACTTATTATATTCATTGCATAGTCCCATTACTGCTTTGCATATCCACGTGATTTGAATCCTAGTGGTACAGTACGGGTTTCTAACTAACGTTCTCATTTCATATTTAGTTATTTCACCATATACTGCGGAACTTTTTTGATTTGCACCGACGAATAAAGATTTTTATCAGAGTAGTTGAAGAAAATATAGTGCTATTACCAGTTAATCAGGACAGTGGTGCTTTGATAATACTAACTGTTTTTAGATTTAGCTTAAATTTAATAAATAAATTTGATTGAGTTTGTACTGCAAGGTCCGCTTCATATTCTTAGTTTAGATTCTCTTTTTTAGAACTTCGACCGCAGTCGTCAGTTCATCTTCTGCTACTCAAATGGTTCCGCAAGCACCGTTAATGCTAACTTCTGCGTCGGTAATTTTCTTGTCAAATTGCGTAAACAGTTTTTAAAAGTTTGATTTCAATTAAATTCAATCCACTGGTAGCTTTTTTGACTATTTTCTATTTCCATATCCAATCCGCAATTTTTGGAATATTTTCTATTTTCAAGTAGTGCCGCTTAAGGTACAACTAATATTATGCTAATGTTAAGGTTCTATTAGTTTATTTGGTCTGACACTAATTTTACTAACTAAAAAGGCATAGAACTTCAACAGCTGGGATTAGTATAACATTCTTAATTATCTTGTCATAAGGAACTGGAAGTGCAAATCGGGGGTTTAGTTGTTTATTAGCAAAGATTACGTAATATTCAGCCTGGACAGTTCATGCTTGTTCACCATAATGGCCAATGCTATATGATGTCGGCAACACAATATTTCGGTACAAATCAACAAATTGCAGCTGTTAGACCGGTAATTCTGAACTAGCCATTTTCCAATGATCAAAATTGGAATATGTCTCTTATTTTTAATATCTGTGCACCATATACCTTCGTTTCCTTTCAATTTCCACAGAGCTTTTGTTATTCTAGTGTTTCTTTTTATGATTTCCATTCTTTTTATATTTAGTTTTCCGCAAAGTTAGTCCTAACGTTTACCGTTTACAATTTGAAATTCTTCTTCACTACTCCTCTTCTCTTCATCTTCTTTCCTGTGTTTTTGTTTTTCTTTTTATTAATTTAGTTCTCACTTCATTTGCAGCAGCAACAACAGCAACAGCAGCAACAACAACAGATTTCTGCACCAACAACATCATGCACTACCACCATTACCACTTCGGCACAGGATTTTTCAAAGTAATACAACAGCAACAAGCACAGTCGGTTCAAAATTCGACAAATGTAGTAGCTGCTGCCCAGCAGTTCTATTCACAGCAACAGTGTCGTCATATGCACCCGGCATGGATTTGGTTTTTCCCATTTTTGTTTCGCTTCCATCATCACTTCTTGCACGCTTTTTTTTGATTCAGTTTTTGTGTAGTTTTTATTGTTTGGTTTGAAGTTTCGATTTACACAACATAAATGATACATCATACACCATTACTTTTTGTAAATGATACACTTTTTTTTTGCCTCTCAGCAATAAAAAGTGCTGAAGGAGTGGTGTTAAATAAAATTAAAGATAAAAGTGGAAGTATGATGTTATATTTACGTTCGGATGCGACCTTTGTCCAATTTCTGCCAAGTAACTGTCGGATATAGACAAATGCATGCGTTGGTATGAGTTTTTTTTTCTTGATTTTACTTGAATTTTTATTAAATATTGATGTTTTCTGACAGATTTTAACTTACTCCGTTAAACCCTTTCTTTCTGTATTTTTTTTGTCAATGTTAACATCGTTTCTGTGTGTCTTAATTCTTGTGTTAAGATTATTCTGCTTCTTTTCCAATTCTAATACTTTGTTCTTGTTGTTTATCATCCAAATACTTTTCTTGGTGCACTTTTCTTTTTTTTTTTTTTTTTTTTTTTTTTTTTGAGGATATTAAAATCTTGATTTGTAAGTTTATATTCCTAGACCGTAATTCAAAATCTAAGCTTTTGAAACATAGTCTTAAATGACAGAATGAATCTTTAACGGTAGCGTTGCTGCAATCATTTACCAGATAAATTTTGAAGATTTCTGGAAGTTTCATGTTGTGTGCACAAATTAAATACCAAAATTTTACCAATAACTTATCTATTCTGCTTTTACAGATGCCTTCACAGCAGCAATATGTGCAACCAGGTTTTGTGACTAATAGCGCAACGTTGGGACAGCTTGCACGAAGTCTGGCACCAAAGCCAGCATTACCAGGACCGGGTATAGTCTTATATGATTTTCTACATATCAAATTTGAATGTGAGATCATCTAGTTTGTAAGTTGTTTGACTTACTATTATTTGGCGCAATAAATGACTTGAGAATTTTACATATTCAGAGTTTTAGTTGCTTCACTAAGAAAGTTGGAGCGGTAGATAAGTAGATAAATCTGGATAGGGCGGTGATTATGCTGAAAATTTGTATAATTTTGATAGGAATATCATAACTGTTAGTAATTATTTTTTTTTTTTTTTTTTTTTTAGGCATTATTTTTATTTGTACTACTTAGATACTGAAGAAAGGTAAAATATAAGTATTATAATTTTGATTAGTTCTCTCATATATTTATATGTAAGAAAATACTCTGTTATGGGTGAGATTTCGAAATTCACTGGCAAAAATTCTATGTTTATTAATGTGCGGAAGAGCGATTTAAGAAAAAAAATTTTTTTAGTTGCCGTAGTAGCGACCAGTACACATATGCCATCAACTGCAGTAACGACAACAACTACTACAACATCATCCACTGTTGGACAAGGAAATGATGGATGCCTAAAACGATCAGGTCAACAGCAACAATCCCCGCAACAATTGGGAACCGCATCAGTGCAGCAAATGCAACCATCAATGTTTCCTCAAGGTATACATCCTTGTAGATGAATTTCGTTATTCGTTTTGATATGTTGTTTGATTTATAATGAACTGATTTTCTTCGTCTTTGACTTTTAAATTGCCAAATGCCAATTTGTAGTGTATGTCTAACATTTGAGATATGTAATAAAGAATCTGATAGCTGATAGTTAGTTAGTCTTTATAGCAGTCCCAGCATTTATTCAGAATTAATTTATAGGAATCCAACTCCGTACACCACCAGGTTCATCAGGTATTGTCTTCCAAATGCCATCCGGAGCATATACATATGTTCATCGTGAGTTCACTTCATTTTTATTTTTTATTCTTTAGTTTTCTGTGCACTGTCGTCAGGTGTTCTTTTTTATTCTCCCAAGGTTTCGATTTTTTCGTCTCATCTTCGGATTTAAATTTGAATTAATGGTCGAAATTCAGAGTTGGTTACCCCTCAACAGCGCACTTCTACTGCGATACCTCAACAACAAACAATTCCAGCTTGTATTGGACAAGCGGTGGCACCAAGTCAGTCACAAAACCAACAACAACAGCAACCTTCTCCTGCTAGTTCACCCACTCAAAAACTTGTTGCTTCAGCTACAGTCGAATCGAAAAATAAGCAGACATCAAGCAACGTCGGCAAGGAATCTGCAGCCGAAGAACAAGAAGACAGTAATGCTTCGCCAACTGCTGACAGAGGTTTTAATCTTTGATCAATCAGTTTTATGATTCAAGCTTAAAATAGGTAAAAACGCGAGATTTGGATTTTATTCAGATAGTTTTTACTGAAATTATGTTCAGTATTTTTTCGAAATTTAAATAATGAATTTCGAGGTATTTCCTTGAGAATGTTTTCTGGCCAACTCTTCGTTAGGAAAATGCGTGATAATTCTATACAGCTTTTACAAGGTATACTCGGAATCTTGTTTCTCGTAGAATGTGTTACTTGGTTAAAATCTATTTGTAAATTTCTGAATATGGACATAATTTCAGAAAGTCATCCACTGATTGAGATGGTTTCAGTTCCGAATAAGCCATCAACAACATCTGTCAAAAGCAGTGAAACTTCATCAAAGAATGTTAGAGGTGGTACTAAACATTCGGGAAATGGACGAAAAACTGGCGCAGTGAAAAGTTGGTTCTTTTTTATATATATATATATATATTAATTTAAAATATACTGATTACTTGTTTTCCTGGTTAACACATATTCGGAAGGTCTTGTCTGCTTCGCAATTTAATTCCTGTGTTTGTGTTTCTATGCTATTCTACGTTTATAAAGTTAAATGGAACCTAGCTAAATTCTTGCAGCTTACATACAGCTTGATGGAAATAGGTGAAATGATGGCAATTAAGAAGAAATCAAGTATTAAAGTCTGGTACTGTTAGGTTTATTTTAGTCGCGACACCTCAACCAATAGCTCCTACAAATTTGGTACCAGTTGGTGCTCCAGTTCCAATGATGGTAATGTCTGCTCCAATGCCTCAGCTAAGTTCTTTTGGGGGACATGCAGCAGTACCATTCATGGCACCAAATGGACAAATCATACATCAACAACTGATCGCAAATCCACCCGTACCAACGCAGATGATACCGGTATTTCAACAACATCAGCAAACTACTCACTTTCCTGTTTCCCAGTCAGCAGCCCAAGGTTTTTCTTAAATTTTCGAGCAAATGTTTGTCTTTGTGTAATTTCTGTGGTTCATGATTCATACTACTCTGGTTTTCGTCTTTTTAAAATTTTATGGTCATGTTTTTGTCAGAATCGTTTATTGTAGTTAGAGGACGATTTGTAGACTCAGCTTCTCATGATTCTCACAAAACAGTTGCGGATGATGACAGTGGTTATGTTGATCCTGGGATCGAAAATGAGCCTCCACCGCTTCTTGTTCAGGGTACTCTTTTTTTGTCTTTCTTTTTTTTTCAATTCTCAGATTAGATATAAATGAATCATTTGTATTCAGAAGATGTTAATTATTGCTAGTGCCCATGTGAAGTGAAAAAGGTTGAATTTTGTTAGCACATTGAATTTAAGTATCTCACAGACATGAAGAGGATCAGAGCTTATCTTCCTCCATTGCTTCTGATTTTCAAAATCAAGCAGACACCACACCAGAAGAATAAAGAACTGTTATAATTAGGTAATATGAAGCATTTTCTAGACCTTAAGTAATACTTAAGTAATACTGTTAAAATTGTGTCAAAGTTGTCATATGATTACTTTACGCCCAATTTATTTGTCATTATTTACCTAATTTTATGATTGGACTAGTCGTTAAATTTTAGGAGAATCGAAAGATGCTCTCGATATTCATATGATGTTCACGAAAGAAGCCGAAAGATATTATCAAAGAATGGGACGAAAAGGCAAAATTGTTCATTTAATCGAGGGATTTGAAATTGAGGTAACACGAATCGGTCGTTCAGGAAAGTAGTTTATTTTATTGGAATTTCGATAATTGAGAAAAATTCTGTATTTTCAGGAATCAGATGAGCCTTTTCCATGTGATCCACCTTGCCGTTTAAGTGATTGGCTTTTATCCGAAATAGAAGATAAGAATGGGAGAAAGGTGTCCAAAGAATGTAAATGGAGCACATGTATGTTTGTAATAATAGAAACTAATAGAGATCAAACATATGTGAGTAGTACAATGGCCCAAACAAGTATTATTGTATACTTATGATGAAAGTAAGAAAGGAACAGTCACTGAATTGATAATTCTGATGTCTTAGAAGTATTTTATGCAAATGACTTTAAATCGTTTTGGTTTAGTGTTAATCATACTTTAAGTATAGAAATTAAAATCCAACAGGTTATTTTTGCAGCATCAAAGAAATTAGTCGGTGAGAAAGATACAGAACCAACATTAGAAATAAGCACTGAAAAAGTGGAGGTTAAAAAAGGACGCGCAAAGTAAGAATATTTGAAATCATTCATACTTATAGTATGTCAGTTGTTGTTGCATGATCTTAGATCTTTCTCATTCTGTTAGAATCGAGATAAAAGTGATGGCAATGGTTTTTATTATCCAAAGGCAGATCATGATCACTATGTTAAGTTTTTATATTGGTGTCGAGTGTTAAAAGTTTCTTTTGATTTTTGCAGAACATCTCCAACAAAATCTGAAGCGTCTAGTGAAAAAACAGAAAAGAAAACTCGTAAACGTAAAACAAACGAGGTTTGCTTATTTCTTTGTTCTTTTTTTTTTTTTTTTCGTATTGCTGTTAAATTTGAAAATCGCAATGGATTAGCATGCAGTAACGTTTTCAAGCGACAGCGGTTGATTGTGAAGGACAGAACGTTGCCGGATGTGCAACGATATTACAATGGAAGTGACTGATGAAGCGAAATAAGAATTTATCAGATTAGCTACTTTACAGCTGGATCGATTACTACAAATGGATTTTGGACCATCTCATGGTCGTCTTTCTGATATTATGCAAAAATCAGTTTATAAGCCAACCAAAGAAAGCAAAGAAACTCTGCTGCCGCCTCCACTACCACCGCCAACAAAGGGCTGTTTGACAAAGCCAAAAGGACGACCACCATCTTCATCGGTAGATAAGCAAAAACTGGAAAAAATTGAAGTGAGTGAACCGGTAATGGAAAGATTCATTATTGAGGATGCTGTGGATATCTCACCAAAAGTTGTAACTAAAAAGTGTGAAGGTATTTCTGTTTTTTATTGAAATGTGTTTTAGTTTTTACTCTAGACCATCAAGCAATAAGTTTTATAAATTATTCGTTAATCTGCCAATAATAATTAGCTATCTAATAAATAAGTATGCTGACATGAAATGATCTAAGCATATCAACAAATAGGGCAATAGCTGAGTATTATTAAACTGGATTTTTGTGAACTATCATTACTAATGATTTAATAGTTTTGATGATACGCTATAGAATATTAATTGGTTTAATCAATTCTTGAAGTATGCTTTAAATTTAGTTTGAATTGAAAATTTAAGTGGTACAAGATTTTTTAGAAAGTCCAGCAACTGCAGATCAGTCGTTGAATTCTTCATCAAAAAGTAGTGCTGATACAGCTACTGGCAGTTTGTTAGTGAGTTTTTCGGATGAAGAGCTTGACACTGAAAGATGTAACTACTGCAACGGTTTGCTGCGTCTTAAACGTCTGGAAAATCATCCGCAGTATTGCTCGAAAAAATGTCGTAAATTATGGAAGAAGAATCCAACAATTAGTGAAGAGCAAGGTTTGATCTTGATCTTTCTTCATTTCCTAGAGCAAATTGTATCGAAGATAGTATAATTAGCGTTTTTTATTTCTTCCTGTTAATACTTTAAATTCTAAATTCTGCACTTATAATACATTAATAAGTGAGTCAGCTTTACCTAAAAATTAAAATCTATTTTTTTTTCTTTTTTTTTGAAGGTTAATTGTTTTTCTTAGCAACGAAAAGATATATAGATTACTCTCTTCACATCATCACTGTTCTTTTTTTGAACAACTCCAATCTTTTGATGAGAAGTTTGGTTTGAATGATTGTTTTAAGTTCTTCCATTTAGATTAGTCAATGCTGTTGTTTTTTTTTTTTTTACAGTTGGGCGCTCATTCAATGCATCACCACGACTACCATTTATTCGTTCAACGGATACATCACCCATTAATAAAGATATCAGTCCTACAGTAACAGTGCATAATCTCAGTATAGTTTCAGAGCCATCTTCTTCAGGTTTCTGAAAATTTTTTATAATTTATTTATATATTTATAATTTTTACAGTTCATTTTTATGATATTTTACAATTTAAAAAAAAAAAATTTTTTTTATAATTTTTACTCATATTGTTGTTTTACTTTCCTAATTAGAGTAGGATGGAGAGAAATAAGACCAAAATAAAAATTCTTAAAATACAACAGTACATAGTACCATTAATAGCCTGGTTAGTTGAATAAAGCAAGATGCCTCTTTTACATTTTTCAAAAAAAAAAAAAAAAAGTTTAGTTTAAAAAAAAATTAACGCTCATTAAGAAAGTGATGAATAACTTGCTAACATGAAATCGCACTTCAAAAATGTTAGTTTTGAAAATACACGTGGACGTAAAATATGATGTAAATATGGCAATGAATAGAGTATAGTTAAAATTTCAGGTAGTACCATTGATTTGCAGCAGCGAACACCTCCAACATTAACGCTAAAAATGGTCTCACCTCAACAGGCAGAAATTGTAAAATCTCCTCGGGGGTTGTCCACTTCGTATTCGTTAGGTGAGTGTAGTAAAGTGCCGTCGACATCGGTTTCTCCAGCTATTGCTTTAGCTTCAACGGTTGATCATGCACCGATGGATTTCCTTTCTAGGCCAACAAAAACATGGACTGTAAGTAACTTTTTTTTTTTTTTTTTATGACTGGTAAATAACGAATTTGATTTATATTGAATTTATATTGCTGTGTATTTGAGTTGAGTTTGTTAGATAAGCGTTATTTGTGGTGCAATTTCTTCTGTAGCTAATTTCTTAATCATTACTCTTACTTGCTATTTCCTAAAAGTTAGAGTAGCTAAAAGACTAGAGGGAAGACAATATCTTCGATCTTTTGTTTTATCGGTATTATACAAATGTTAGCATTATGGCATGAATGGTTTAGGTACATTTTTATATTGCTAACCTGAAATCTTATTTATGACATACATTATAAAAGATTAAGTTTGAGATTGATTGGTATGTTTTGAAATTTAATAAGTAGCAATTTTCCTCTTATTTTAGTGTGATGAAGTGGCAAGCTGGGTATCATCGGTAACCGGTAATGAGGATTGTGCGAATACTTTTCGTAATCAGGATATAGACGGCCAGTCTCTGTTGTTACTGCCAGATAATGCTCATAATAATTTGGTAACGCTACTGGGATTGAAACTTGGCCCAGTAGTGAAAATTTTGAATGCACTCAAAGAATTATCAAGCAAAAGTATCAATGCCACATAATTGTTTTATGCATAAAAGTTTTAAAAATTGAAAATGATTCATTTAAAAATCTTAAAAAATTTACATTTCATTCCAAAACATTTTGCTATTACTAATCTTATTTTGGAAGCTTTATTGAAAAGTGCTGATTGTATAGAATTGATGATTTTTTACCATTAGCTATTTCATTTATCAGTTATTCACGATGTTTATTTGTTTATCTATCAGCTCTTTCTATTTCTTTATCGCATTAATTTTGTCGTAATGAATTGCGAATACAAAATTTGCATTATTATATGGTTGTTGGTTAATTGAACTTTTTTTTTTTTTTTGATCTTTTGTTCTTCCTTCAGGAATTTTTCAGTTATAATTGTCTCTCCTAAAAGATTTTTTTTATATTGAAATTCCAGAAGAAGAAGAGAAATCGAGAGCGAAATTACGTTTTTTTTCTTTTCACATCTCGATTTATTGCTATTTATTCTTTATTGATTTCCTTGAATTGTATCCAAGATTCATTTGAACATTTATCATGACCAATGTATATGCATTTCATTGTAGCATATGTACCTCATTAGCATAAAGTTCTATTATAGCTAATGAATTTTGAGCTTTGGTTTAGGACAAAAGTTAAATTTTGTGAACTTAAAAAGTGAAAGCATTCCTAACAAGCATCTGTTCTGCTTCACATAATGTGCTTTATTTTCAGCTTTATGAGAACTAGAATATAATTTTACTTCTCAGCATTAAAAGTCTCTTTCTTTTCTAACCTTTTAGAATTCCCTTATTTTACTACTGTTTCACTTTGGCATACTCTACTTTAAGATATTTTTATTTACTACCGTTTATTATGTCTACAGTCGTTTAATATCCATGGTTAGTTTATTCATAGTGCTGTTTCTTTTGATTTTGCATATTTTTAAATTTATGATTTTTCATTTGATTAAAATTGCTATTGTCAGTTATCAATGATAATACTTTTTAGAGAAAAAAATTGTATTTGTAAAAATTCAATTTTGTATTGCTCATAAAAAATTTTGAAATTTTTAAAATGTAGAAATACATTTAATTGTTATGCTAACATTCTATGAAATACTAAAAAAGAAAAAAATGTCAAAGAAACAAAATACCAAAAATAATAAACATTAACAGAATGAAACTAGAAAAAATAAAAAGTGCAACAATTTTATGAGAATTGTAAATTAGTAACGATTGAAATTGTTTATTTTGATTTTATGTTTTTTCTTTTGTTTTATACTTATGTCAAGTAAATCTGAGAAATTTTTTATTTCAACTTAGAAATGTTGGATAATCTTTAATATTTTTCAATTAAACTATAAGTGCAAATTAATATCTTAGCTAGTTCCTAATGTATTTGATTTTTCAATTGAGAATTTCTAGGATTTTAAAAAGAGAAAATAATGAGCTACAAAATTTCCATCATCAGATGCTTGTAAATGTTATTTTATGGTATATTTGATGGTATTTTATGAGTTTATCTATTAACTTTAAAAAGTTAGGATTTGATAAATGATAATGATTGATAGGAATTTGCTGTATTTATTTTATAAAAATAATAACATCTATGAATTCTATTTTTGAATTATCTTGATTTCATCGAAGTCTAATGAAATCTAAATAATCACATCAATTGCTTTTTATTAAACTTCAAAATTACATTAGCAACATAATATTTAAACATATTTCTTCCTTATTAAATAAAAAATCTTTTAAATACCATTTAATGATATGATAACACATCGTTATCATTATCAGATTATTGAGTGAAATAATTTTGTTGCTTTGAGAATAATTTTTAATTTAATAATAATTTTTAATTAATTTTTAATTAATTTTTTAAGTTTAATTAATTTGTTTAATAATTTTGAGTCTAATTTGATTTCTCCCATATCACTTACATATATGCCATTTAATAGTTCATTCTATATTTGAAATCAAGAGTTAATTGTGGTTTTAAATTGCATCTAAAAAATTTACATATAAATTTAGTATACTAAAAATACATAAGAGGTAGACATATGAAATGAAAGAAAAAAGATTCATTCAAGAAGAAAAAAATGGAATTACAAAATTTATGAAAAAAAACTTCTATCTTCAATTTTCTATTAAAATTTAAAAAAAAAAAAAAAATTTAAGTTAACAAATAAAAACGATCTGTTTTTGATTACAGTAGCAAAGTAACATAAAGATTTAAAAATTTGCAACTTTTTTTTTTTTTTTTTGATTTCAATTCTACCATTAACAAATTTTATTGATTGATAAGTAAATTGATGGATTATTATTCTTGAATTAATTCAAATTAATTTTTGATGAAAGATTTTACACAAATATGAAATTTGGTTTTTAAATTTTTTTCTTTTTTTTTTCATAATTTTTATCATTTTTTTTAATTTTAATAGAAAAGAGAATAATAGCTTCTAGAATTAAAGCAAAATTTTTGTCAAATCTCTCACAAATGGAAATCATTCATTTTTTTTTATTGATTGTCACCAACAACAATGAATGACAATTTTAATTTCACTTCCTGTTTGTCGCAAAAAATTTTGCTCTCTTTTCTTGTTATTTCTTTTTTTTACCTAAAATATTATTGCATTGATTAATTCAAATCTAATTTGCATAGTGCACAAGTAATTGTAATTTTAATTTGAAATTGAAATTTTTATAATGAAATCATAATTTGATATTGGACAAAATGTCTTTTCTAATTGAAATATCAGTTTAAGTAATAATTGAAATTTATTTAGTATTAAGCTTACTTTTGGTGGTGAATTAAAATTTAAAAAATAAAATTTAGAATTTTTTTTTAGAATTTTTTTTTTTAAAAACGCCCTTTAATTAGTGTTTCTATAAATCTTATTATTTTACTATAATCAAAAAGGTAACATAATTCTTTTGCTACTAATTAACCGATCATATTAATTCGATTTAATTAATTAACTTAATCCATTAATTCATTTTATCGTTTCATTTATATTTATCTTCATTCTTGCAAATTTTCATATATTATTTCACATTCACTGTGTATTATTTTACTGTTCTTTTATCATTATTAACAGATTTAACACAATTAACATTTTCCGGTTTATCCTAAATATTTAAAATTATATTCTATATTTAGTACAATTAACATTTTCCGGTTTATCCTAAATATTTAAAATTATATTCTATATTTAGTACAATTAACATTTTCCGGTTTATCCTAAATATTTAAAATTATATTCTATATTTAGTACAATTAACATTTTCCGGTTTATCCTAAATATTTAAAATTATATTCTATATTTAGTACAATTAACATTTTCCGGTTTATCCTAAATATTTAAAATTATATTCTATATTTAGCACAATTAACATTTTCCGGTTTATCCTAAATATTTAAAATTATATTCTATATTTAGTACAATTAACATTTTCCGGTTTATCCTAAATATTTAAAATTATATTCTATATTTAGTACAATTAACATTTTCCGGTTTATCCTAAATATTTAAAATTATATTCTATATTTAGTACAATTAACATTTTCCGGTTTATCCTAAATATTTAAAATTATATTCTATATTTAGTACAATTAACATTTTCCGGTTTATCCTAAATATTTAAAATTATATTCTATATTTAGTACAATTAACATTTTCCGGTTTATCCTAAATATTTAAAATTATATTCTATATTTAGCATTACCAATCAATCATTTATACAATGAAAACAATTCTATAAATGAAAAAATCCTAAAATTATTTTTACACCTTAAAATTAATTAAAAATTTTAAATTTTGTTATGGAATACAAAAACATGAATTACCACTTACAATCGATGATTGTTTCATCGATATTATAGTCATCTATGTTGTAGAAGTAAAAAAAAAAAAAAAAAGATGAAAAAGATATGAGTAAACAAATTTTAAAATTGAAAACAGTGAGTCATTCTCTTTAAACAATGACTCATAGAAAAACAATGAGTCATCAACCCTCTTTTATTATTAAATTCTGAATTTTGTATTTTACAAACATGAAATCTGATCCAAATGAAAATTTATAAGCAATGTAAGGATTAGAGAAAATGAAATTTTGGATGAATTGAAATTTTAACTTTGATTAATTTAATGATAAACAGCAATTGAGATAATAACTGTATACCAGTGGAAAAGTTTTTATCATTCGTCTCTTATGGAATTAATGCTTAACCGAATCCGGCATATATTTCTACCGGATTATCATCAGATTGTATCGTATATTCATGCATAGTTGACATTTTATGAAATTATTCAAAAAGGATGTAAGATATTTTAATCATAAATGTATATTTAATGATACAATGAATAACCTAGAACGATTGGAGAATAATCTTATCATATCATATCAATCTTATCATTTCCTTAAAATCTTTTCTTTTTTATAAATTTTTTTTTATATTAAATCAAAAGCGAATAAAAATGAACTATCATTCAATTTTACAAACTTTTTCATTAACAATTGTAATAATACTAATAGATTCAATTTTTTTAATTTTAATAATTATAATTCATTTAACACTTTTTTAATAATACAATTTTAATAATTATAATAAATTCATTTAAAATTTAACAATTTATACATAAATTTCATTACTGTAAAGATATTTTCAAATCTAAATATAAGTAAAACTAAAAGTTAAATTTTAAAACTTTTAATAAAAAAAAAAAAACATTTTAATTTAAACTTTCATTTCCTCCTTCATTCTTCTATTTAATTCTTTTTTTAAATAAAAAAAAAAAAATAGTACCAAAGATAAACATTCTTCGTCATATTTCACTCTCTATCAATGCAAATCTATCGTTGACATTTTGCTAACATTACTTTAGTCATTTCACAAACGAAAGTATTTACTTTGATAAGAAAATTACATCATATAACATTTGCTTTTTTTTAATATTAAATAATTTTAGTAAATAAGTAAGTAAGTAAGAAGTAAGTAAGTAATGAATTTCAGGAATTCTATATGAGTACCATAGTTGTTCCAG